TCTAGCAAGAAATGTTTTATTCTGCAGTGTGAACAGATGTAAAATATCAGTTGTTAAATATCAGCTTCTCATAAAATTTGGACTGAAGGGTGATCAGAATACTATGAAAATCTCTTAGCACTGGTTAACCCTTTCCTAGCCTAGTCTCTGGATGGACTTGGGGGGCTTGTCTTGAGCGACTGACCAGAGCCATGAGCCCAGCCGGGAGCTGTTGTCAATGCGGGGAGGGAAGGACTCCTGGGGGCTGGCCCCCGCCTGCCCAGCTGGCTTTCCTGCTTCCCTGCTTTCCTCACTGGAAACAGGGTAGGGAGGCTCCCATACCAGGACTCTTCGAGGACCAATCAGCGGGCACTGCACTGTCATCTCACAGGCATGGGTGCCTGCAGCACACAGGCGCCCCTGAACACGATATAGCGTAGCAACTCTAATAAAGGCCTTACTTTCTTAGGTAAATCATCTTGTTACATTTGTTTGTAAACATGTTTAAAGAATGAACCTAGTCCTACATTTTTAGATTTTGATGATATAGCTATTTTGGATTGTATAAGTAGCAAATGTAACTTTTACTTTTTAAATGGCATATTAAAAAGCCAGCAAAAAAAAAAAAAAAAACTCCTCAAAGTGTACAAAATCAGCTATAAACATTATGAAATACAAGTTACAGTTTTATTTGCTCTATAGGAGTGTAAAAATTACAAAATTCTCATCAAAACTGAAAATAAGAGCAATGACATACCATAAGCACCCATACCCCTTAACTGACAAAAACATTTTAATTGACACCATCTGTTATACCTGCCAGTAGGCATGAGCTTATTAATTTCTGTGCTCACATACCTTTAACAATGTAAATTGCTTTCTTATTCTCTTTTATTCCTTCTTGCTTCCTTAATTAAGGCCTAAACACAGAGAGATCTTTTGTACATCATCGAGCCGTGTATGACTCCAAAATATTTTAGTGACTCTATGCCTGTGCTTACAACGGCCTCATTGTTGCTCAGCAACCTAAAACATTTATTTTTGTTTTCCTAACTTGCTATCATTTTCCTCTATTGACTGCTAATCCTTCTCAGTTTCTCCAAATCCTTCTCCACCCACTTATTTCTTAGTAAATTACTAATAAGACTTGAACATATCAGGAAATAACCATAAAGAATGAAGAGACTTGCCTGGGGTTATGCAAAAATTCATGACAATACTCAAATTAGGACTAGAGTCTTCTTACTCTCTCTAGTTTCAAAATTCCCAGTACCATGGGGCTATGTAAGTGGGCTGAATTCATTTATGACATGAGATTTTTCTAAGTTCTGTTTTCTAAGTTACAGTGGGAATTAAGCTTCTAATACATGAACCTTGGGGGACACAATTCAATCAATCCACTGTTGCTTTGTGTTGCTTCAGCCTCCACGGATTTGTCACCCCACTTCCCCTGGGTGATGGAGATGAAAAGATTACCCAAAGCCCATCTCTTCTGAGCAGTGAGAAGCCCGGAAGTGGTTAACTTCCCTTCCTCGGGAAATTAACACTGAATTGGGGTTCTCTTCCTGCATTTATTTTCCAGACCAGGAAGTTACAGGAAAAGAACAAAGGTGGGGTTATAGTTTAACAATATAGACTGGTAACTTTCAGTGAAACAAGCCAGATGACATTCCAGTAAGGCAAGTAAGTGGTCCTATCAACAACAGCTTGATCTTAGCAAACATTCCTTTTTTTTTTTTCCTTTTTGTCTTTTTTTTACTGACCGGTAATGGGATCGCAACCCTTGGTGTTGCGCCCGCACTGTGCTCAGCCAGTGAGCGGAACCGGTCTCCACATGGGATCCGAACCCTCCGCGCTCCCGCCGCGCTCTCAAGCGGCGCACTCTCCAATGCGCCACCGGGCCGGCGCAAACATTCCTTCTTAACAGCAATTTCTTTTTTTTTTTTTTTTAAAGATGACCGGTTAGGGGATCTTAACCCTTGACTTGGTGTTGTCAGCACCACGCTCAGCCAGTGAGCAAACCGGCCATCCCTATATAGGATCCGAACCCGGGGCCTTGGTGTTATCAGCACCGCACTCTCCCGAGTGAGCCATGGGCCGGCCCTTAACAGCAATTTCTCAGTATCTTTACATAACAATCAGTAACTAGTCTGTCTTTTGAGACAGCAACCTGCTGTGCCACAATTCTTATCTTGCAACAGAGATTTACAGCCTGAGGGAAATTTCCAGCCCCCCCCCCCAAGGTCAATATTTGAAACTGCAAGGCTTTGGAAAACCAGGCCCTGTGAAGTACATATGCTTTTTAGTATATTCCACAATCCACAGCACTCTAATTTGGCCTAATTGATATCTCATCTCCCCCACCTCTGCCATGTGGAACATGACTACCTGGGAATGAGCCTTCCCAGCACTGAGGGATCACAAAGAAAAAAGTAGAATCTTTCAACCAGAAAATAGATAATCAATGCTTCCATGAGGAATATTCATCAAAAGGGGGATATGATGATTCACAGCTGACTCAGCCACACAAGCATTTTTAAAAACATCAACAGCCTTGAAGGGGGCCTCAAGATTTGGGTGAGACATCTTGTTCTTAAACAAAGAATTCATGTAAGTTCTTAAAATTTTTGATGTACCAGTGAATGTATAGCTTGCTAACTCTGAGTAAGCTGTCCGGTTATCTTTAAGATTAGCCAAAGAATTATCCTGCACATAGGCATTTTTGCGTATGTGCTGTAATCTGTAACCAATGGTTGTAAATTCTGTATTTTACCTATAAGGCCCAGCATATAAAAATGTAGGAACACAGAATAAAAGAACACTCCTGTCCCTAAAGCTGATTTTTGTCAGGGCAAGTGAATACTCCTATGAACCACTGACTGATCTCAAATTGTTATTCAAGGAATAGAAATCAAAGACATAAGTGATGCCAGATTTTGGGCCATATATTCTTTGTTATATAGTACTTGCTTATATATATTTTTCTTTTTGGATATTTTATTTGCTTAGTTCTTAATGCTAGTTACCATATTGTTTAAATCATTTTAGTTATAGCCCACAGATTACAATTATGAATATGTATCTGATATTGATAACTGGCTTATTGGTTTCATTACCCAGCAATGCTTGGAAAGACAACTCTCTGATTAGAATACCAGACACTAGAGTGTATTTCCCAGCATTTGCAAAACAATACCATTTCTCAAACACTGAACTTTGCCCTATTTTAGCAAGAAGCAGAGCGGTTGCCGTTCCTATATCTCTCAGGATTGAGAAATGCCATAAGAAAGGGGAGACTGAAACTAACAGCCACAGATTTAATTTGATTTCATATTTTAAGATTAGAAATATGTATTTTGCTCAGTTTCATACTTAGCCTATAGCCCTTATGGCAATTAAACACGTAGAGTCTAGATAATGAGTGGGAACTTCTAACAGGGAATAAATTTCGGGAAGTAACTTAAAGAATGTTCTGTTTATCATAAAGAAAAATGTAGCCAGTTAAGCATAAAGTAATAGTAATCTAAACAACAGTCAAAAGTGGTTTAGTGTCACCAGATGCTTGCCTCTGCTTTTGCTTTCAAGATAACAGTATTGACACACAGATATAAGTTGTATTTTTTTTACAGGTTTTGAGAGTGGGGTGACCCAACCACAGTCATGTATATCACCTGGCACCCAGGCAAGATGATGCCAAGAACCAGAATAGATCAAGATTAGAGAAGATGCTGAAGCTTGCCAAAGAGCCAGCCAATCAGAGACATTCATGAGCTCTAACCCCCTACCTTTAGTTTTTGCCAGTAAAAACTCCTGATTGAAAGTTAACAGGGAGTTTGGATTTTAAGTGATAGCTTCTCATTCTCCCTGCTTGGTGCCATGGTATAAAGCTTATATTTTCTTTACTGTAATACCTAGTGTTCAGTGACTGGCTTAGCTGCGCATAGACAGACGGACCTTTTTTGATAATACTGCTTTATCCAATGCATTTTCAATCCTTCTGACAAGGAAAAAGTCTCATTTTTGTACCAGTGTTTAACACCTCTCTAACATTGCCTTTTTAAATAAAGAACAGTCAATCTCAAGCCTGGAGACTTGGCATAACCTTTTCTAGCTAGCATTTAATAGTAGCATTTTGCTTTTGTTGTGGCTATTTTCATTTATGTTAAATGATGCTGACTCTCCATTTCTAGTTTTCTATTTAAGTAAAAAAGTGAGTCTGGTTTAAAATAAAATATTAAGTAAATACTGTAAATGGTAGCATAGGGATATAGCAACGACAACAACAAAAATTGTGAAGCTGGTACTTGAAAGACCAACTCTGAGAATGCCGTATTGGTACAATCTATTACCAATGGTTGTCCATTGCAATCTTGGGTCTGCTAGGCCACAAAGAGCAATCAACAGCTGGTATGATAACTCTCCTGAGTCCTCTTTCCCCCTTGCATCCTCGGTAACTCAAACTCTTCCTCAGTTGCTGTTGTCATTTTTGGCTTCTAAATCTCAGAGTGCTATCTCTGAATTGCTATGGTCTAGAGTTTTTTTCCTCCCTACTTGTCCCAGCCTTCAGGAATCTGTTCCATCCCAGTCTTCTACTGCTTCCAAATTAAAGGAGAAATGTTTTCCCCTTCTGCAAGTGGTTATGGCTCTTTTGGCTAATCTTTGATAGTCTAGTGTTAAAGAACCCACAATTGTATTTTGATTTTTTCAAAGGG